TGGAAAATTGTCCCGGGGCCCGACCTGGCTCACGGCGGCCCTGTCCATAGTTCCAGTATAATATAAGAATTTATAAAATAAATTCAGAATAAATTTTCAAACGTTCGACAGCTATAGTTTTCATTACCTATAAGGTTATTGTACTGATTGTCGCAGTGTACAGTTTGTCCCAATTTTAAAATTTACTTTTTATTATACCATTTCAATATATTGCCTATAATGAGTAATAAATAAAGAATAAATAAGTTGTTGCATATAAAAAAAATTCCTATAATATTAGTACACCACTAAACCCCCAGTAGGCGGCGATAGCCAGTGAATTACTTTGTCAAATGATGACGTAGTGTAATCGGTTCCTACCTCATTGGGCGATTGCTGCTCATGGTTAATTTGTTGTTTACGTATTCGATTTACTATTGTTAAGCATACGTTGACTGTTAGGTTCATATTTAGTGTTTTATAGGATAGCACTTGATTTTTAACAGCGTTTTCGTTTATATTATATTGGTGTTGATTTAATTAGTTTACTTTTGTATTTATAAATGGCTTTTTGGAGACCGTTTCAAAGTAATGGATAGTCTATTGTTCCAGAATTTTATTTTTGAATTCAATTTATTCAATTTATTAACATTTTTAATATACATTTATATACAATTACTTTTCAATTAGTTAGCGTCTCATAAAATGGCTACCACTCTAGGCATGGTTGCCTGTCCTGTGTGAAGCAATTTTATGAGGTGCTCTGTTTACAGTATTTAAGGGTATTATGTAGTGTTTTATATCTATTTTTCATGTATAAAGACATTTTGAATTGTGCTTTTTTCAGAGAGGTAATGATGGCAGCTTCGATGGGGGTGAGAATCAGTTATTAATTTATGGTTAAATTATCTTAAATAAATTTTAACAGCTGTTATTATCATGAGAACATCAGAAATATATAAGGATGATTGAGTATATACTTTTTTACTCCTATTTTGTATGTTTTATATATTTTTATTTCTTTTATATGTTTAGGTAGTACATTAAATAATTTCGGCCCAAAGAAAAGAAAGGCGTTCTGAGTAACAGTTTTTTTAAATAAATATGTTCTTACATTTAGATTCAGTTTAGAGCGTGTTTCTTTTATGTTTTGTTGAAGGCATTTAATTTGTTGGTCAAACATTCTTAGGAGACATTGGTAAATATAACTTGACCTAATATTTAAAAGATTAGTTTCGTGATATAAGTTTTGTGTGTAATAAAGCCTCTCTTTTTTAAAAATTATTTATAGTATTATATTTTGTGATATTTGCAGTGGATTGAGTGTTGTTTTGAATATTGCGCCCCAGGCAGTAATGCAATACCTAATAATTGATTCAACCAGAGAGTTGTACACTATAATTAAATTTTTTTTAGTTAATATATCACGCATTTCATAGAATTTTTGCATCAAAATTCGGATTCTTTTTGTTACATATCCAATATGCTCAGACCATCTTAAATTCTGATCTATTATTACTCCAAGGTATTTTAGTGAATTTGTTTTTTGTATAGATTGACAGTTACAATCTTTTTCTTTATTACACTGTGATTTGTGGAATTTAATTATTAAAGTTGTTTGGTTGATCTACTACTGTTGGGGAAAACGTAATATATTTAGTTTTATTAACATTAAGTGATAGCTTATTATTAGTTAGCCAGTTATGGATTTTTTCAAGTTAGTTTCCGCTATTTTTTGGGCTTTTTCCCATGTTGTTTCAGTAAATATTAGTGCTGTATCATCGGCGTAACAAACTATATGACCTTTAAAATTGTTAATTTTGGTTATATTATTTATATATTCATGAAATAGTATTGGTCCTAATATGGTCCCCTGCGGTACTCCAGTTAGAACATCACAGTCGGAACTTTGTATTCTATCAGTCAAGTAGTTTTTCATTAAATCCGAAGCTATACCTCTAATGCCATAATTATTTAATTTTTGTAATAATAAATTGTGATCCACAGTATCGAATGCTTTGGCAAGGTCTAAAAAAACTGCTATACATTTTAATGAACTGTCCATGGCCTTCACCGCTAAATTAACAAAATCCATTATAGCATTTTCAGTATTGGAACCTTTTACAAATCCAAATTGTCTATTTGTTATTAACTTATATTTATTAAAGAAATCTATTAATCGTTTTTTTAGACATTGTTCAAACAATTTAGCAAAGTTATTTATAATTGATATTGGCCTGTAGTTTTCCGTTTGGTTAGATTTACCTGATTTAAAGATGGGTGTAATATTTGATACTTTCCATTGTTGCGGAATGTCTCCGGTTGAGAAACATTGATTGATGATGTAACATAGATGATCTAGTATGTAATTATGAATGGATTTTATAGTTTTTGAATTTATCTTATCTGGACCTGGAGCACAGTTATTTTTTAAGTTTTAAATTATTATGATTAGTTCTTTAGGGGTTACTGGCTCGAGAAATATTGATTGTTCGACTACCGTATCATTTAAAAAATTATCAGGTAACTCAAATTTTGGAATTGCTTTTGACATATTTTTACCAACATTAGCAAAAAATTTGTTAAATTCCTTAGCTTTTTTTGTATTATCATTTAGTGTTGTGCCATTTTTTAATAATATATTAGTATTTTCTATTTTATTTGTATTTTTAGCTCCTCCATCTGTGATATTATTAATTATATTCCAGATTTTTTTTAAATTGGTTCCAGCTTCATTTATTTCAGCTTTGTAATAATCGTTTTTAGTCTTTTTTTATTAATGAGTTAAGTCTATTTCTATAATTATTGTACTCTTTTTTAAGGGGTTCAGAATAATTTTTTAATAGTTTTTTTTTAGTTGGTCTCGTTTGTGTATAGAGTCTATGAGACCTGTTGTAATCCAAGGTTTTAGCTTATTGTACCTTTTTTTAATTATTTGATCGCTTGTGCATGATTTAATAAGATCTATAAGGGTGGGTTTTAATGAATATATTATAAGAAAGTTGTGCGTTATTTTCCAATATAACATTTTCCCACCTTTCATTTTTTAATAGTTGATTTAATTTATTGTGATTAATTTTTTGAATAGTTTTTTTTTCTATTACTTGCCTGATTGATTTATTTTTTTTAAGTGAAATATGCATATGGTGTGAAATGGTCTGTCATATCTGTACAGAAAATAATGGCTTCAGTTTTTATTTGATTTTTTAAACAACCTTCCGTTCTTATGAAAATATGATCAATGGCTGATTTTGAGTCGTTTGTGACTCTGGTTGGTTGGTTTGTTTATATATGATATGAATTCATTATATTCTAAGGTGTTTAAGTAATTATTTGTATCATTACAGTCACTATTTAACAAATTAATATTTATGTCACTCAGGTATATTTCTAAGTTTTGTTTCTTTAATTGATCTAGGTAAATTTCTAAATCATTTAAGTAAGAAGATATTTTAGTTGAGGGGGATCTATAGTAGGCCGTCAGTCCCACTTTATTATTATTTTTTAAATTGTTTGTCGTGAGAATTATTCTCAAAAATTTAAATTGATTAATTGGACTAACCACAACCTCCGCTGAGATGTTGTTTTTTACGTAAACGACAACGCCATCGCATTTATTTATTATTGATTCATTATAGTATTGAGTGTAATTTGGAATTGAGAAATTACTTAAACAATCAATTATTTCTGTTTCTGATAGTATAATTATATGTAAATACTCTTCTGCCATTTGAATATATATCTTTAATTCATCAAAATGTTTTCTTATACTTCTAATATTAAAATGAATCACTCCTAAACCTAAGCTGCTGTCATCATTAACTCTCTTCTGAAAATAATCTTTAAAACTATTATATATTTTTGTTTCAATATGTTCATTATCATCTAACACGTCTAACAGTTCAAGCATTGGGTAAAACAAAGATGAGCTACCCTTATCATTTATAATACAAATAAAAAATCAGAAGTTATACATTAAATAAAGCGGATTTTACTGAATTAACTATGCACCTTAAATTTACAATAATAAAAATATTTTTTTTTTTATTTATTTTAACAAAATACTCAATATATATTTATTTACATATTTTTTTACATATCGTCACATTTAGTTTTTAAGCTAGAAAAAATAAGAATTAAAACTGCAGTGAGACAAAATTAGATAAATGAAAATATGTAGAATATTCTATTTTTTTATGATTGTCCCCTGTATTTAGGTTAAGAAAATATAAATGAAAAATTTCAAGACTAATTAGACATTCGCAGGTTTTGTTGAAAATTACTGCTAGACATAATAATAATGCTAAAGAAATATAATGCAAGAAAGAAATCAAATATTAGAAAAAAGGAAAAAATAAATTAATGAAATGAAATTATTTAGATTCTTTTTATTCACTATTTTTTGCATATTAGTATCATTATAAGTAAAACCGATATTTAGAGTACTATTTTTTTCATTTTCGTTGTTTACAAATTGAGAGATGTGACTAAGTCATATAAATCTTTTTTATTTTTAATATTAACAATTTTGTTGTCGATATTTGCATAAATCTTTCCTAAATCAGTCCATACCTGTTTTAAGCTAAAGTTTGATATTGTTTCATTGAGGAGTTCTAATCGTAGACTAGCCAAGTCCTCTTTTAAAGGCTTCTTTTTGGAATATAAAAGTATTTAACAATACCTGTATTTTGAGACAGAAAGAATAATGGTTTTAAACCTACTATATACGCTGTATATGAGTGGTGGTCATGGGCAAATGCATTTTTTGGTTATATATACTCGTAACGTCCACTCCATGGTCACAACACATATGGAGCGACCACAATAGGTTCAAAATCACTCTTCAACTCATTTTGTTAAAAAATTCTAATGCCTAGTATTGGAATGAAGGTAGCCATAACATTGATTTACCTATTCATTTATTATTTACACCTATATTGATTATCCTATGCCTCCACCAATGCATGACGCTATACAACTAGAACTTATACCTTTTTTTCCATATGGATTTTTCGTCGTAGGAGGAGGAAGACGAGTAGTATGAGGAGGAGGAGTAGGAGAAGGAGTAGGACGACGACGACGAGAAGGAATACCTGAACTAAATTGGCTACCACTTCCTAAACGACTTCCGAGACCACCTTCGAAACCACTTGCCAAACCATGAATAGGCGCACCTCCTCCTAAACTAGACGTACTGTGAATTGTAACCACAGGAATGTACGCATTTCCAACAGCGACAAATGTTATGGATAGCTGATCACCATTTGGGAGTCTCAATGAATAAAATCCCTTCGCATTCATGATTCCTTCTTTAGAACCTGCTGCTACGTACGGTCCGTTATCAAATCGTGAAGTTCCGCCATTGGACCTGGTCAAAAAACAAACAAAAATTATAGATACTTTAAGCTACGGTTTGTTATAATTAGACCTAGGCATATATGCACCCAAAAAGTAATTATATATGCGCATATATATGCCGCAAAATACTTCAATATATGCGTAAGAAATTGAAAAATATGCAGAGCATATGCAATAAGAGTAATTTGTTATTTGATCAAAATAGTTTATTAATATTTATTATTTTACAATACCTAATATAATACTTAATAATTATTTAATTATTAACTAATTTTATTTACAAATCAACATTATTATAAAACGAATAAACAATTAGATGTTTTTCTAAATTATCTGTATTACATGATTGTCTCCTATCAGTAAGTATGTACAAAGAAAAACTCCTTTCGACATCTACAGAAGTAATATATGCAAACTTAAATTTTCCTGAAATATCTGGATGAATAGTATTAATATCTTCAAAGTTACCATAATAAATATTAGCAAGGTTTCTTAAAACAATAAATCCTTCATTTTTTAAAATTACATTTGAAAATTTATGAAAAATCGTCTTTCCAATATCGCCCTGGACATTTTTACACTCTGATTCAAACGTCTTAATTAAATTTACGGAAGTCACCAAAGGTAAATTTTTTTTGTTTGTTACAGCCCTTTGTATATTACAAGTTTGTATTCTATACTTATGTATTCTGGGCTAGCTATTTGTTACGAGAGCGAAAAGGAGTTCATGCACCCAATTAAAACAAAACTTGCGGTGCATACATTTATTGGATAGACAATCTGTCTGGTTAGTTTCTAGCTTATCCTGATATTTGGTGACATTAATTTTATATACAAGGGATACCCAGTACCGAGGGTTGCCCCAATTGGACCAATTGGTTCACACAGAACCGTAAGTTAATATATTTACACTACATAAATTTTAGGTACAATTATTATCACACAAACAGTTTAATGATGAATTATTTTCGTTTCAGCTCAACCACCAGTAACAAAGATACAATAAAACTGGAAAATTCTTACTTGCAATCAATATCCAGGCTCAAGATGCAGGCACTAAACAGCAGGCAGGCTCTAGCGGACGAAAACAGAGCTGGTAAAATAGGACGAATAGCAAATAAGCAACATGCAGGAAATAGCATCAACAGCGCTGGAGGACTGCGGCAAGCAACAAGCAGCATGCATTAAGATCTTGAATTCTATCTGAGGTGCCAGCAACGTCACCTTGAGTGTTACTTATAATCAGTTAAGTAGTTTTTTCCAATATAAATACGTCTAAGAAAATAGAACGAAGAGTAAAAGCGTAGAATAAGAGTAGGAGAAAAAGAAAAAGGCCGAAGTTGGGGATCGGCCTTGGGAAATTCAAAGGTTTAAATTGAATTACGGGAAATCCACTTATAGTGCAAATTTTCAACAGAAAACTAGTAATTCAAATTTAACCAGTTTATTTTTGTTTCAGAGTATAAAATCCGTAAAACGATAACTGCAACCAGCACAAGATATGATATGCCCAAAAAAAACAATTTCCACAAAAACTAGAGGAAAAAATCAAGCTTCTAGAAGTTCCTCTCCCAGACCAAAAGCTTATACCATTTAAGACAATTAGTCACCTTCCAATAAGTGAAATTACTTAAGATACCCAAGGACTAAAATAAAAGAAGAAGTACTTAGGTTGACATAGCAGATTGGAACTACCTAACCTATATAACAATGTACAAACAATTTTTGTAAACAAATCAATTATCTACTTATTTATATCAGGAACTGAGAGTATGGAATGACTGAAGTTGTAAATAAAGTTTGTAAATATGGTTTGCTTTTTAATTTAAGTAAGTTACTTATGTATTTTAATTAGACTTTCTGATTTGAAAATATTGTTGCGGTGAAACCGTAACATGTTCTAAATCTAATATAATTTTGGGTACAAATGCATGTTATATCTTGAATAACACAATTAGATTTTTAAAAAATATTTTATTACTTAAAAGGTATAGGGGTCTATTCTGTAACTATAGTTGTTATCTGGCAACGTTCTAACCACTTGCTATCTTACCACTTTCATAGCAACTGTATATAACGACTTTGACAAAAGTAGCTATTCTAGAATTCACGATTTCTAAATTAGTCTATGCTGTATCATACAGTTATGCTACCGACCAAGTTGTTATGATCAAGTTCACGTTGTTGTATTACCATTTTGAGAAAATTAGGATTCTCTAAGTAAAATCTGTAACAACTAGTGGTTACAAAAGTGGATTCAGAGTTATTTGGAAGCAACCAAATATTCTTGATGGTTAAGCCTAACAACTAGTTACTAAGAAAGATATATTATGGACCCTGGATAATAAATATTTTAATAGACCAAGAAATTAATGAAAGGTATATTTACTCCTTGCGAAGTGTATATGTAAGGATGAGTGACCCTCCATGTCACTTAGGCCCCAATAGGCCCATTGTGCATCCTTCACGGGAATTTAAGACCTGTCTCTCAGCTCTCCAAAATGTCTGCTGGTTGATATTATAAGGACCGATTCCACCGTTGTGGTAAACGAAGTTTGAAATGATATTTTTACATTAACAATGTCATTTTAATCTCCGTTTAACACAACGGTGGAATCGGCCCTAACGTCACTGAGAGCTGTCTATAGGAACCACCTCTTAGATCATCAAAAGGCCTGCATGTCTCCTTGCGATAAAATTGCACATTTAAATTTTACTGTCTTGATGAAAGTTTACACCTACGACATATTTATGACTTTTTTTTAATTTCAAATCAGTCTCAAATGATAAATTATATTTCACGTAACATCCATGACCGGAAGAAATAAACCTCATTGGTCCTGTCTCTCCTGACTTGAAGGTTAAGTTGTTAAAAGCCTGGTTTACACCACACATACAACTTTATAGCAACCGTGAATACTAGAATAGCTACTTTTGTCAAAATTGTTATACGGTTGCTATAAAAATAATACAACTTGTAAGTATGGTGTAGATCAGGCTTTTAACAACTTAACCTTCGAGTCGGAAGTGCCGGGACGTCAACTGAAGTGTAATTTTATCATTTGGAAATGGTTACATTTTGTTGGACTGGCTTGAAATTAAAAAAACTTAATACAGCAAATAAATGTATTATGCAATTTTATCTCGAGTAGATCTGCAGGTCTTTTGACGATCTGAGAGGTAGTCATCCCTATATAAATCTCACCTGAAAGGCAGCATGTGGAGGATGCACAATGAGGCTATTAGGGCCTAACTAATGTAAGGGGACACACCTCTTACAGATACAGATTACAAACAGTAAATAGTAAGCTGTGCTGAAGTCCTACTTTATTCTGCCTGCTCTTATAACATTAATAAATGAAAAAAATCGATTATATAAATTAATGAAAATTAATTTTTCTCCAGAAAATATAGCAAAATTTAAACAGCATCGAAATAATTTAAATATTCTTATAATGAAAGAATAGAGAAAAACAAAAATATTAATAAAAAACTATGGGAGTGTGTCAAAGAAATATCCAACCCACAAAAACAAAAGAAGCCTATCATAGAAATTGAAACACCCAATAATATAGTGAGTCAAAACCCAGTGGAAATAGCTAATATCTTCTGTAAGTATTTTACAAATGCTGGAAAGAAAATGGCCGATGAAATAAAAAGTAAAAAACGAGTCATCAATACCGTTAGGGAAAAAACAATAGCTAAAACAATATATATATATATATATATATATATATATATATATATATATATATATATATATATATTGTTATGATATCCACTACCACAATTAACAAAAATTCAAAAGTCACAATTTAAAATGTACTTCAAACTTAACTTACCTCCGGCTAGTTTTTTTAATCTGATTTAATTTTTTAAGAGCAGATTCCCTTTCTCTCAGTGGTGTCGGTTCTAGATTATAAAATTTTATACACTTTATTTAATTTATATTTATTTATTAAATTTATTTTATTAAGTCTATTTAGATTAGATTATTTAGTTTATTTAGATTATTAAGATTATTTAGATTATTTAGATTATTTAGATTATTTAAATTATTTAGATTATTTAGATTATTTAGATTATTTAGATTATTTAGATTATTTAGATTATTTAGATTATTTAGATTATTTAGATTATTTAGATTATTTAGATTATTTAGATTATTTAGATTATTTAGATTATTTAGATTATTTAGATTATTTAGATTATTTAGATTATTTAGATTATTTAGATTATTTAGATTATTTAGATTATTTAGATTATTTAGATTATTTAGATTATTTAGATTATTTAGATTATTTAGATTATTTAGATTATTTAGATTATTTAGATTATTTAGATTATTTAGATTATTTAGATTATTTAGATTATTTAGATTATTTAGATTATTTAGATTATTTAGATTATTTAGATTATTTAGATTATTTAGATTATTTAGATTATTTAGATTATTTAGATTATTTAGATTATTTAGATTATTTAGATTATTTAGATTATTTAGATTATTTAGATTATTTAGATTATTTAGATTATTTAGATTATTTAGATTATTTAGATTATTTAGATTATTTAGATTATTTAGATTATTTAGATTATTTAGATTATTTAGATTATAGTGACAACAACAATTCAATTAATCTTTGATATTGTAATTTATAATTAAGAAAATAAACTAGATAATAATCAGTCAATAAAATGTATGTTAATTTTATTATTATGGTAAGTCGTATCACCCTGTAAATATTTTTTAAATAGACAAATGTTTCCAATTTATTACCACTAAATCGTTACAAATATTTAAATTTCAGAACATGAAATATATTATCTATCTACTAACTTAATTAACTAACCATACATTCATCCCCATTCACACTGACTAATTATTACTACTATGCACTATTTTCCAGACAAATAATCAAATTAAACTTTCTGTCTAATTCACTAACTGTACAATAACTATCAATACTCCTAATTAGAATTTGCTATCTAAATTGATGTTTTAAGGTGACATTTCACAAAATTTTTAACATTTATATCATCAAAATGTAACTATAAATAATTCAATAACCTTTAATAAAACTATT